TTTCAGATCTTGTATGACTTAAAATGATGTGAAGCGTAAGATAATTCATGTAAGATCTTAAGTAAGATCAGGCATATACATCTTATCAGTGATATTGTAAGATAAGTCATGTAAGATCTTAATTAAGATCAGGCCTGTACATCTTATCAATGATATTGTAAGATAATTCATGTAAGATCTTAAGTAAGATCAGGCATATACATCTTATCAGTGATATTGTAAGATAAGTCATGTAAGATCTTAATTAAGATCAGGCCTGTACATCTTATCAATGATATTGTAAGATAATTCATGTAAGATCTTAAGTAAGATCAGGCATATACATCTTATCAATGATATTGTAAGATAATTCATGTAAGATCTTAAGTAAGATCAGGCATATACATCTTATCAGTGATATTGTAAGATAAGTCATGTAAGATCTTAAGTAAGATCATGCCTGTATATAGTAGCTAAGATTGATCCAAATAAGATCTTATAAGGTTGTTCTTAATTCTTATCTCACCTTACTTTATCTGATCAGATAATACAAGATCTTAGTAAGATTTTTTTGCTGGGCACTACCTGTCCTTAATACATGTACAGTGTAGCCTCTTTATTAAGGACACCATTGGGCCCACACTACCTGTCCTTAATACATGTACAGTGTAGCCTCTTTATTAAGGACACCATTGGGCCCACACTACCTGTCCTTAATACATGTACAGTGTAGCCTCTTTATTAAGGACACCATTGGGCCCACACTACCTGTCCTTAATACATGTACAGTGTAGCCTCTTTATTAAGGACACCATTGGGCCCACACTACCTGTCCTTAATACATGTACAGTGTAGCCTCTTTATTAAGGACACCATTGGGCCCACACTACCTGTCCTTAATACATGTACAGTGTAGCCTCTTTATTAAGGACACCATTGGGCCCACACTACCTGTCCTTAATACAGAGGTGACCTCATTTCAGAGGTACTTTTGTATAGGTTTGTACCAATTATGAGGGTATACGTGTCCTTATTATAAAGGTTGCATGAGAAATGGTCAACTTTGAACTGCTCATAAACGTTACAAGTACTTCTAATTTAATATTTTGTGTTTTTGATTACTCATTTATTGCATTATAGGCATGTGATTGTTTGCAGCTGTTTGTTTATTTACATTAATTTGTGTATTTATTTATGTTTGCTGAAAAAAACAAATAAGCTAAGCCTTTTGTTTACACATGCAGGAGTCAACAAAAACAATAAAATTATCCTCATCAATACGCCACACAATACCAGCTGTACCTAATTCATAATTGCCTGTATCCCATGGTACCCATACTCCTCAATATGTTACATAAAGCAGCTGTTTATTGTCTTACCAGTTGTAAGTGGGTTATATGATGCTTCCACCAGAGGTATGGTTTGAGGGCGGGGCCTAAAGCGCTGAGAGCGTAGTAACTGTACATGACAACATGTACTAAACAATTGATCCATGCTCCTAAAACAGCTGCAAGGAAAGGAAAAGGACATTATGGTTAAGTCCGACCTCTTTTCCCCTCTCCTTACATTGTCCACCTGCTACCCACTTGACTCCAATCCACCAGAGGAAGAACATGCTGGCATGATGATAGACATGAAGGAATGTGACTTGGTCATTTTTTTTCCTGAGAATGAAAAACAGCTACAAAGAGAAAGAGAAACAACCTCAGTGAGTGAGTAGGTGGACATTGTATAATGTAAACTGTAACACAAAAAGAGTGGGCCACTTCTCACTGACTGACTGTGGTCGAGTGTATAATTAAATTCCAGGGCATTATTACCAGCTGCTATGAGGAAATATATACGTGTACTTACTGTGTCAGAAAACTCAATGAACTTTGAGAAATAATACCACCATATGGCATTAGCAATCTGTGAGGAGAGAGAGGGAGGGGGGAAGAAATAATATAAATGTACATGCATACATGAATGGTCCTTACTCTTAGTTGTGCTGGATGGTAGGAGTATCTCATTGGTGTACATATGAAGTTGTATCCAGCATCAATCATGCCGAATGTCATCTGGAGAAAAGAGGAAAGTCAAGGGAGAATTGTGGTCATTAATCGTAGGCATTTTTAACATTTTTCTTTCATTTAAGTTAACAACGTAATTAATTTGTGTTTTCCTAGATTCTTTGATTGCTAAATTTCTCAAAATTAGCACATGCTAATTACGTTAAAACCAGGCCACAAAATTAGACACGATTTAACAATACCAAAAATACATGTACATGTACATGTACACATGTACCTCCCAAAGCATCCAAAAGTTCAATACAACAATAAATGCATTGAAGACAAAAAGGAGAGCCTTCATGTCAAAGGGGGCCCTATTCTTCATGATTTTAGGGCCTGAGTAGACCATGCCAAGGTATAATATAATGAGACATAATGTGGGCAGAGGAGATCCCATCCATAACCATTCTGACACCCTGGGGTCTACAGAAAATAGAAGAGTAATAGTTATTAATAATTATTAATTATTAATTATTAATAATTATTAATAATTAATAATTATTAATAATTAATAATTATTAATTATTAATTATTAATAATTATTAATAATTAATAATTATTAATAATTAATAATTAGGTTCTTTTAGGTTGCATGTACTATAGTATAGGAACTTTGACCTGATTTTTGAGGAGCTTTAAAAATTCATTTTAAAAATGCAAATTTGATCGGAATCAGCTCAAACTTCATACACAACATAAGTACATGTATATGTATCAGAAAATACTATAAATATAAAAAATTCTCTACTTTTCATTTTTGGTTAAACTTGGCCAAAGTGCCTGTACTATAGTACAGGGATATTTTCAGAAATTGGGCCATTTGAAGAAATGGCTATAACTTTAAAAGTTTAAGTTGAAATCGGCTCAAACTTTCTACACAACATAAGTACATCAATATGTATCAGAAAATGTAATAAAAATTGGGGGTGATTTTGGAGCCATTTTTTGGAAAAAACCGTGGGCTATAGCCTTGGGTATTTTTCAAAATTTTGGCATTTTAATAAAATGGCCATAACTTGAAAAATTGAAGTCGGAATCAGCTCAAACTTTCTACACAGCATAAGGACATCAATATGTATCAGAAAAAGTAATAAAAATTTGGGGTGATTTTGGAGCCATTTTTTAGAAAAAACCATGGGCTATAGCCTTGGGTATTTTTCAAAATTTTGGCATTTTAATAAAATGGCCGTATAACTTGAAAAATTGAAGTTGGAATCAGCTCAAACTTTCTACACAGCATAAGTACATCAATATGCATCAGAAAATGTAATAAAAATTGGAGGTGATTTCGGAGCCATTTTTTGGAAAAAACCATGGGCTATAGTACAGGGATTTTTTCAGAATTTTAACGTTTTCTTAAAATGGCTGTAACTTTAAAAATTAAAGTCGGAATCAGCTCAAACTTTCTACATAGCATAAGGACATCAATATGTATCAGAAAACGTAATAAAAATTTGGGGTGATTTTGGAGCCATTTTTTAGAAAAAACCATGGGCTATAGCCTTGGGTATTTTTCAAAATTTGGAGTTTTCTTAAATTTGCTGTAACTTAAAAAATTGAAGTCAGATTCAGCTCAAACTTTATACGCAACATAAGTACATGTATATGCATTAGAAAGTGTTATAAAAATGAAGAATTCTTTACTTTTCATTTTTAGCAAAATTTGGCCGAAGACCATGTACTGTAGTACAGTCTTTGGATCAATTTTGAGGATCAATTTTGATCAGAATCAGCTCAAAGTTAATGATTTACATAATCACTTTGAATTTGATTGAGAGCAAATGAAGTTCAAATGCAAACTCCAGACAAATGAACACATAACAGGACTAACCACTGCTCTCAATGACGTCTTTATAAAAACCCTTTGGGTCATCAAAAACCCTCATCAGCTTTCCAAGCTCATCTCTCAGTGAAGTGCTAGCAGCCATTTAATAATATCACAGGAACTGGAGGAGGGCAGAGAGAGGGGGTATATTGCTGTCTCTTTGTATTTTAACTTCTTCTTTCTCTTGCTCTAGCTCAGGGTCATAAATTTCAGTCTAAAAGTCAGCCCACTTCTCCTCACTCAAGCTGTCTCAGGAGACACTGATAAGCTCTCATGAATATAATTCAAGCCCTCACACCTTCCACTATAGATTGTATTAGAGTAAATTTGGGTGGGGCTCATGTATGCATGTACATGTACAGTGTAACCTCTTTATTAAGGACTCCATTGGGCCCACACTACCTGTCCTTAATACATGTACAGTGTAACCTCTTTATTAAGGACACCATTGGGCCCACACTACCTGTCCTTAATACATGTACAGTGTATCCTCTTTATTAAGGACACCATTGGGCCCACACTACCTGTCCTTAATACATGTACAGTGTAATCTCTTTATTAAGGACACCATTGGGCCCACACTACCTGTCCTTAATACATGTACAGTGTAACCTCTTTATTAAGGACACCATTGGGCCCACACTACCTGTCCTTAATACATGTACAGTGTAATCTCTTTATTAAGGACACCATTGGGCCCACACTACCTGTCCTTAATACAGAGGTGTCCTCATTTCAGAGGTACTTTCGTACTAATTAGGATGATTACAAAATGTCTTCATGTAGGTAATAATCAATGTTATAATGAATATAAATACAAAATGTTTCATAAATCATCTCATGTTATGTGTAGTAAGGCTAACCTCTCATGACATCACATTACATCATATGACATCATTAACTACAATATATTTTAGTTTGTGAGGTAGAGTTGAAGTGATTAGAATGGAAGGTGTGGTCCTCTTTGCTGTTATTGTCACAATGGAGCTGCAATAAATGAGGACACTGCAATAACAATGTTTTTATTTTGTAAGATGCCAAATTCCAACCGCTAAAAAAAGAGAGAGGAGAAGGAGAGAGAGAGAGAGGTTTTATGAACCAAAAACAACTATAAAGTAGCAGCTGCTGTTAATAAACTGCATGTACATATTACGTAAGCAAAGCGAGACAATGTACATGTACATCTATTTATATAATCACAAAAGAGCTGTATGGCACCTAAATTAGGCTGACAGCTGCAAGCTAACTTTTTAGGATTTTCCATCAGCTAAGAATTTTAGCATAAGGACAGTGTTGCATTGATTTACCTTAGGTTCATCTTCTCCAGGTTAGGAAAGAGTTGTGGTAATATTTCCCTAGCCTCCTCTCTCTTGCTTACAAGTCTGGAGCAGTGAGACAGAGACAACTCTTTTAGAGTGTCCCTAGCTACTGAACTGAGATAATACAATCCTTCAATAGAGACGTCTTGATTGTAGGATAAGTCGAGAGACTTTAAAAATGGACTAGATATATATTTTAGTGTCTCGTTAGAACAAAAATTACCTTTAAAAAAAGAGAACATAAATATTCATTAAAGGATTAGAATAAAAGATATAAAGAAAAGACACAAACCAAAAAAGGATTATACAAAACATGCTCTGTGTGTACATGTACATGCATTACGAGTTAATAAGTGTTGTGACTAGTCTCATTAGTAGAAGCTCAATAATTCATAGCGTAGTCTTACAAATCATTTCAAGGCTATTAGCACTTTTCAAATATACTCTAGATATAATAATATGCTAAAGCTGTGCCGACCAATGCAACAGTATGGCTCATTACTATTATTAAGATAACGGCCAAGTGAGTATTCCAAATAAGGAATGTACTATTGAGTAGATTAGAGTACACTGGTTGAATGACACTGGACAATGGTGCTACTAATGGAGCGAATCCACAATAATGGACACACACACAATAATGGTGGGGGAGACAAGAACAATAATAGGAATTTTGTTTAGTTATGTACACACAATTATTAACGTAAGCTAAGCAAGAGAGAGAGAGAGGGAAAGAGAGAGAAAGATGCACCTGCTAGATTGATTGATGTGAGATTGGTCAACTGTGAAAGAACATTAGACAATTGAACATGTTCCTGCTTGCAAAAGAATAAATTAAGAGACTCTAGACCACGAAACCATGATGGGAACTTGCACCAAGACCCGTTAAACGAGGTCCTTATAAGACTCACGTCCTTTAGACAAGGAGCAAGGTTTCTGGGAGTTTTTTCCTCGGCTATGAATGAGTAATAGAAGACACAGTTCTTAATAACTAGTTTCTTTAATTGCGGGAAATGCGATATGAGGTTATTTGTGGTGACGGCTTTTAGTGAGCCACAAGTATCAAGAGAGAGGAGTGAGAGTGTTGGGTGAGAGAGGAACCTGGTGTCATCAAAGTGAGCTATATCAACCACACCCACCAACGAGAGGCTCTCTAAATGCGGCAGGTCCTTCAGAACAAGGTGCCCCATAATCTCTATTGAAGTAGATGTGTACAAGCATTTTAAGAAATCCAGTTTGAGCTCCGTAAGGTTCTTAAAATTGAGGACATGTTTGAAGATTTTTGAGTCTAGCTTTCCACCGCAGTCAATGTGGAGTGCAGTGAGATGGAGAGCAGTTGAAGAGAGGAGGAGGAGGTCACTGCCCAGTCTGTTCTGATCCGATAAAGTGTATCCTTGGAGCTTCACTTTATGCAAAAAACGAGACCTCATCACCTCCCAGAAATGAGGAGGGAGCTTGAATAGGTTGGGCTTTAAGGTCATCCAGTTTGAGGACCAGAGAGAGGGAACGTGAGCAGCTTCAGACCACCTCCTGCAGACCAGGTAGATCCTAGGTCTCTCTCTCGCTGGAAGGAAAGCAGCAATAGTCACTACCAGCTCTAGCGGGAGCTCAGACCATCTCGCAAGAGAATGGAGAGAGGAGAGAGAGACTTGCTCCTGTTGCTTCTGCTGTCTCTCCTTTGCCAGGGCTAAGAGAGATGGCTGGGAGCGAAATGAAGCAGAGAACCGTGCTCTCTTTTCACGAGACATGTTGCTGCTTTAGCCACACCTCCTTTGAATTATTGTGGGTGTATTCTAATCCACACCACGCCCCTTTATTAAGGCGTGGTTCGTTATTAAAACAAAATGGCGTCTGATTAGGAGGCATAGTTTAAACTATCATGGAACTGGAGGTAGAAGACTGGGTCGAGGAAGAGATTGAAAAAGAGCTGGAAAAGATCAGCCTTGAGGATCTGGAGGGATCCGAGGAAGAGGAAGACAAAGAAAATGTCAAAAGCAACTCAAATCTGAGATCAGAGGTTTGAAATTTTGAATTATGATTACATTTTTTAATCGTTGCTGTTAGGATTTTTCTCCAATTCTATCAGTCCAGTCCCTTCAGCGTTACGTTGCCCTCAGGACTTCACTGACCAAAGGGCTACAGAGCGAGCTGGATCTTCTAATTAAAGAGCATGGTACTACTATTATTGTGTGGGTGTGGTTCATTATGTATTTAAATCTTTAGATGTCTCCAGTAATATATTACTCCAGTCTCCGCCTCTTTCCCCGCCCCTTTCTAATACTGATGTTACTACAGCTTGCAATGGAGTCAAACAAGAAGCAATTGAAGATGTTGAAATTAATAATAAGATAAAAGAGACAGAGGTATGATGTCATTTAAAAAGACAATTTCCTACTACCTCAGGGCCTGTGGGCATTCATTTCTACATATACGTACCCATACATGTACATTGTACAAGTATAATTTAGCGTTTTAGCGGAAGCGAATTAAAGCAGCAGCTGCTAATAATAGTTATTATGTCTTTGCGTAAACAAGAGATAGGCAAGATCTGTAACAAGATAACAACAGTAGATAGGGTGAGCTTACTATTAGTGATTGTTCTTGAATGGAAAGATTGAGCTTCTTGAGTAGTGCTATGCTGTTGAATGGGAGCTTTACCATTGAGTTTCTTCCTGTTTTTGCTAATATTGCATTTAAATCAGGGTACCCTTGAAAACGCTGAAATTAAGAGTGCAATTAATACCCACCCACCCCAAAGGTATTTCATGTATTTTATATTATTAAAGGTCAAGATAAGGTCACTAGTGGAAGAAAGAAGAAGATTAGAAATTGAAGAGGAAGAAGTGAGAAAAAATGTAAAGCCAAACACATCCCAAGAATATTTGCACAATGCACACCAACTTGAGAAGAAGTGCCTTAAAGTGTATATACAAGCAGAGTGTATGAATCATGTGTTTATGGTTGTTCTGTATTCCTATGTCTGATTTAGTTTCTGAGTATGAAAGAGAAAGAAGAAAGATCAGTTATCTTGATACAAGCTTACTGGAGAGGATATAGGTACATTGGTTATTGGTTACTGGTTATTAGTTACTGGTCTAATCTGTTCCACAGGGTACGGTCCCAACTGGTTCTACGAAAGAAACACTTGGAGACTCTAAGGTACTCATTCTGTGCTGCTTTAATTCAGTCGGCTTGGAGACGATTTGTTTTAAAGCAAAGGAAAGAAGCAGCAGAAAAGAAACGAAGAGAAGAATTGGAGTCACTCGCTGCTAGAAGAATACAGGATTATTGGAAAGGACATAGGAGAAGAGCTTTAGCTCAAGCCATTTTATCAATTGGAAGGAAAGAGAAAGCAAGAAAAGTCTTGGAACAAATGAAAAGGAAAGAAAGAGAGGCAACAGCTGCTGGGAAGATCTTTACATGTTGGAAACGACACAAGCAAAGGAGAATAGCAATATTGGTAATGTCAGCTGGAAGGAGAGAGAAAGAGAGAAAAGAGAAGGAGAGAGCAGCTGGTGCTATAATACTGGAACAATGGAGACACTGGAGACGCAGACAACTAGCTAAAGGAATTCTTGAAATTGGAAGAAGAGAAATAGAGAGAAAACTTAAAGAGGAACAACAAAAGTATAATAATACGAACAAGGACGAGCAAAGGGACCTCACTAACCAGTCACATGACTTAATTAACCAGTCACATGCTCCGAATGGGCACTTCATTAACCAGTCACATGACCAAAAGACGCAGGAGGAGCTGGTACACATGGCTGTTTTTAGAGAGATAAGGTCCCAGGAAGAGACATATGCTCAGAATTCGAGAGAAAGGATGAACAGGATAATCGTTCATGAACAAGAAATGGAGTCCGTTGTCAAGACAACTCGTACCAGTCCTGATTATAAGTCTCGTCTTGAGTTTGCGTCAACTCCTCTCTCACCTCATGCGTGGGTGGGTGTGGTCAATGAAAGGTGTCATAAATGGCAGGAGGAGAGGAAGAGGCTACGGATCAGGAAAGCTCCACCCACTCCATTCCCTCCTACTTTATCATCCCAACCTCAAGCAACAAGGTTAACATTAATACATCTAATAAAAATGTGGAGTGATTTTGGACCATGGGCTATAGCCTTGGGTATTTTTCAGAATTTTGACATTTTCTTGAAATGGCCGTAACTTGAAAAATTTAAGTCGGAATCAGCTCAAACTTTCTACACAGCATAAGGACATCAATATGTATCAGAAAATTTAATAAAAATTGGGGGTGATTTCGGAGCCATTTTTTTGAAAAAACCATGGGCTATAGTACAGGGATTTTTTCGGAATTTTGCCCATTTTAAAAAATAATTATAACTTTAAAATTTAAAGTCGGAATCAGCTCAAACTTTCTACACAGCATAAGGACATCAATATGTATCAGAAAATTTAATGAAAATTGGGGGTGATTTCGGAGCCATTTTTTCGAAAAAACCATGGGCTATAGTACAGGGATTTTTTCGGAATTTTGCCCATTTTAAAAAATAATTATAACTTTAAAATTTAAAGTCGGAATCAGCTCAAACTTTCTACACAGCATAAGGCCATCAATATGTATCAGAAAATGTAATAAAATTTTGGGGTGATTTTGGAGCCTTTTAAAAAAACTATGGGCTATTACATGGCCTTTCATCAAATTTATCTGACATTAATTAATTAATTAATTATTATATTTTATAGATCCCTTTCTGATGTACAGTTACTTGCTACTTCTCCGAAAGGAACAAAATTAGACGAGGTAATAATTAATAATTAAAAATAACGAGCCACACCTCCTTTATTTCCATATAAGGTAACTGTGGTTCACTTATACAGACTAAGGGGTGGGGCTTCGTTAGACCTGACGTCACTGTCTCGCTGTCCTAAATTACGTATTTTATCAATAATGAAATCACCTCTCATCGTTTTTAAAGACATTGGAGGGAGAGAGAAGAATAAAGATGGCTGCTCATTAAACATTGAAGAGCTATCTCTATCAGTGAGTTAATTAATTGACAGACTATGAATATCAATGAGGCCACACCCACATTTAATTACCACTTTTCAGTCCAACAGGTTGGAGTATATTGATTTTGCTGACTTGGCAGAGCTAAGGTTTCTCGATTTAAGCGACAACCACCTCTCGTCTATTCACGGTCTCCAAACGTGTAAAAACCTTTTAGAACTCAATCTTGACGAGAACAGAATTGCCAGAATAGGTAGCAATCAAAGACCTCTTTAAATTTTTCTATCTACATGTACATATGTAGGTGGTCTTGAGGGGTGTGGCTTACTTCAAAAGCTAACCATAAATGGAAATTTAATCATTAACAGTGCGGTAAGGAACGTTTGTTTTATAATAATTATTGATTTTTGTATTAATTAGGGCGTGGCTTCGTTGCCAAGGTTACAGCATTTGTCACTGTCTGAGAATCATTTACCAGTGGTGGTCGGTTTGGAGGCATGTCCTTTACTGCAATTCATTAACCTCCAACAGAATAATCTTCAAGAAGTAAACAATGCAATTATTTATTTAATTAATTAATTATTTATTTATTTATTTATTTATTTATTTATTTATTTAGTGTGTCCCTTTTTCTAATCATGTTCTATTGCGAGAGATTGATATTTCTGGTAACAGTTTATCTGATATGACATCAATTGAGGGGGCGTGGCTTCCTTCCCTACAGACTCTTAAAGTATCAAACAACTGGTAATGTACCACCAGCATATCGTATCATAAATCCTCACTCATGGTCTTTAGTATATCATCAATCAGTTCTTTAACATGCTGTATCATGTTAACAACTTTTGACATTAGAAACAATTCCTTATACAGTACGTGTGATGCATTGTCACAATAAATGCACTTGTAGTTCACTTTTTCAACTCTTTCTCTCTTTTTCAGATTTCCCTAGTTTTTTACAGTCCATAAGAGGTTGCTATTACCTCAAACACGTCCTACTTGACGGTAACCCGATCACTCATGAACCTAAATTCAAGTAATTGTATTCATGTGTGACTGTCATGTGCCTGTCATGTGACTATCATGTGCCTGTCATGTGACTATCATGTGCCTGTCATGTGACTGTCATGTGCTCATTTGTTAGGGCTCACCTCTTGAAGGCTCTTCCTCAGCTTCAGAAGCTGAATGATGTTGAACTGAAGCAAAGCAAGGTTAGCATGTATATTGATAGAATATTCAAATTTGGGGTATTTTGGGACCATTAAATGTGATAAAAATTTTGGGTGATTTTGGAGCCATTTATTGGAAAAACCATGGGCTACAGTACAGGGTATTTTCAGTATTATTTTACAACTCTTATTTCAGTCAATTTCTCTTATAGTCTTTCAATATTCCTAAAGAGATTCTCTCTAATCCTTTGATTTCATTAACTTTACGTCAACTAACTGAACAGGATGAACTAAAACAGAGACACGCCCACCAAATAGAGTAAGTGGGTGGGTGTGGTCAACCTCAAAATGGGTGTGGCTAACCATACATCCTCAGGTCAGTATCTCCGGATTCCGTTCCTACATCTCCTGATACTCTCACTCAAATACTGGATCTGAAAGTAAGTTCATCTTGTTTGCCGTGTACTACAGCAACACTTTTAGGCCTCCCATTCCAGTGAATGTCATGAACTTCTTGCTAGACATTACAAGGAACATGTCCAATTTAATGGAAGATATTCTCTCTCTCCTCCAGTGGATAGAACACTAATAGCAAAACAGATTTCTGCTGCTGTACTTATTCAGAGTCAATGGCGAGGACAGCGAGAGAGAATGAGATACGTTAAGACTCTAAAGTTTATCATTTTAATTCAATCTTTAATGAGAGGGGCACTGACTAGAAGATACTTGAAACAAGAGCAAGAGAAGGAGGAGAGAGAGAGGAGGAGGAGGGAGGGAGCAGCTGTGTTGATACAGTCGGTGTATCGCGGTCATAAGCTGAGGAAGAAGCTCAAAGAACTGTTAAGTTCTAATTCATTTTTTGAAAAAGAGGAAGAAGTGGAAATTGATGATGTAAGTATATGATAATAAAACTTTTACTGATGAAAATAATGCATTTAAATGTTGCATGATGTGCATATACGTAATATAATCGTCAGAAACACTATTCATTATTATTATTATTATTATTTTAGTTCTTATTGTCTCAAGTTCCGTTGGAGTCTGAGGATCTTTTAAGACCTTTCAGTCCAACTGAAGAAGACATTGACAAACTTTTAAAACCATCCACTCCGTCTCCACGGAAACAGCAACAACATCGCCAAGTCAGCATTCCTAGGTTTACCCTCCCTGGGGCCGTACAAGAAGAAGTGACACTAGAAGAGGAGGAGGAGGGAAGGAAAGGGGTGGGGCTATGTAGGCGTGGCTCAGGGCCAAGAGATGGTGAAGGTTTGAATTCATCCAATCGGGCAAAGCAACAAAAAATAATTGATGAATGGTAAGGAATGTGATGACTTTAATTGAGGTTATGCTATTGGTGGTACCTTAGGGGGTTTTCAAGTAACGTAACAGCAGGCCTAATGCTAAGAAGAGCCGGCCGGCACCAGAAACTGAAGCAGGTCTCACACCAGAGGCTCCGGCTACAAGATCCCACTGAGAGACTTAATAACTTTAGAAAAAGAAATAGTCAAAATTCATCTTTTCTGTTACCCTATTCAGAAAGAAGCAGCTGCTACAGTGAGGTGACATCACCAGAGAAGAAACAAGATCAACCTGACACCACTGGATATCAGTGAGACTGTGATTGTTTATTTATTTATTTATTTGTTTGTTTTTTTTTTGTTAAAGGTGGAGTCATCACAAAAGGGTAGTCCACCAAGAACTACTAGTCCCTCCTCCTCCTCCTATAAAAATGGCGTCACCTGCTGCTACCTCTCTCTCATCCCTTCCTCAAATGGATTTACACATATTAGTGGGACACACACCAAGACTGGTGGTAAGGACAAGTATATATACACTGGTATGTTAATAATCTTTCATCTCTCAAGACATCAAAGGCCCAGAACGATCTAGTCAGACATTCCAAGTCAATACAGGAAGCTTGGGACAAATGAGACTGCACACGTGAACGCACGTGGTTAATTAACTGACGTCATAATTATTTTAATGATATTCATATTCACGTGTTTGTTATTGGAGGTGTGGCTAGCAGCTGATGCCGTGCCTTAGTGATGGGCGAATCCAGAAATTTGCATTCGATTCCGATTCTGAATACTTCTGAGACTGGAATCGATGGAATCGAATACCGATTCCGAGACTACATCTGCGCATGCGCAAAGCCACGTGGTATCAATTAAAGCAATAATTAAGGTATTAACTACTGGTTTTAAAACTATTATTAATATTAAAAGGTGTGGTTGGGTGTGGTTTAATTCGGAATCGTTTCAAACGATTCCTACTTCTCTTTCGATACGAGTACGATTCCATTCGGAATCGAAGGATCGAATACTCCGGACTCGGAATCGCCCATCACTACCGTGCCTAGAGAATGATGCAACTTTTGGTGAAGAAAGGGTTTTCGTCTCTCTTTTTCTTCTCAGTTGTATGAAAATGGCGTGTGCTAGTTACTTGAGGAGAAAGTTCCCGTTCAATAAGAAACAGGTCCGCGTTATAGCTGGACTTTTCATCTGTCTGGTAAAGTGTTAACGTTTAAAAAACTATTAGTATTATCTTGTTATTATTGTATCCGTGATATATAGTTCTCTAGTGCTTTCTCTATTACGATGTTGTTCCCTTTCCTTCCGTTCATGGTGGAATTTTTAATACCCTCACTGAACCCAACATCAGTAGGTAAGTAGTGGGTGAAAGGTGACCTTACATTCAGCATAATTTTATACACTCCCTCCCTCTCTCTCCTCCAGGTACTTATGCTGGTTTTATTGCATCGTCAATGTTTGCTGGAAGATTCTTTGGAAGGTTAGAAATAAAATTAATACATTTAATACTCTCTCTTAGTTACATATGGGGCCTTATTGCTGATGGGTGGGGCAAGAGGCGTGTCATAATCCTCAGTGAACTCTTACTCGGACTCACGTCAATGTTCTTTGGTTTTAGTGTCAATATATACATGGCCTGCGTCTTGAGGTTTCTTGTAGGACTCTCCAACGGTCAGTACCAGATCACATGACAATCACATGACCTCTAGTGTAGGTATTATTGGTACAGCAAAGGCTGCACTGAGTGAAGTAACAACTAATAAGACACAGCCGCTGGGACTGGCAATATTGACCTCATCTTTTGGTATCGGAATAGTAATAGGACCAGCTGTTTCTGGAGCTATAGCTGACCCGATCAACCAGTATAACTTGACTATTAACAGTTAGTAATTTACTATTTTTTAGAATAGTTATTAATAGTTATTAATAATGTTACTATTTTTAGATGCGGTCATTAATGATTGGTTGACCAGATTTCCCTACAGTCTTCCGTGTATAGTGAATCTATTTCTGTGTCTTATTTCTGTTGTTGCTGCCATCTGTCTCATACCAAATACACTGTAAGTTTATGCATTAAAGCTGCTTCAAAACTGGGCCAAAGTCCCTGTACTGTAGTACACGGACTTTGGTCAAATTTCAACAAAATGAAAAGTAGAAAATTCTCAATTTTTATAACTTTATCTGATGCATGTACATGTACTTATGTTGTGTAAAAAGTTTGAGCTGATTCCGATCAAGTTTGGATTTTTTACGAATTTTTAAAGTTGCTCCAAAATCAGGTCAAAGTCCCTGTACTATAGTACATGGTCTCGGGCCAAATTTTGCCAAAAATGAAAAGGAGAGAATTCTTCATTTTTATAACTTTATCTGATGCATATACATGTACTTATGTTGTGTAAAAAGCTTGAGCTGATTCCAATCAAGTTTGGATTTTTTATGAATTTTTAAAGTTCTCAACTTCTCCTTTAGATCTGATGCTGTTGTACGAGAGAAAGATGAAAGCTCTGACTATCACTCGTCAAGTGTTCCTTCACTTGATGAGGAACAGCAGGAGCAAAAGGAAGAGGGAGAGGGAGAAGGTCAAGCTGCTCATCATGATACCCTTTCAATTGACAGTGGGTTGGATGAGCAGCAAAGAGATCTCATAAATCACGAAGAGACTGAAAAGACTAATATCACAGAAACTGAAGATAGAATTGGCATTGAATATAAAAATACTTTTAAAAGGAAAGCCTCCTATGTATTAAGTATCATACCAGGCCGTAGAAACTCTGCATCACTTCAATTTGTGAAATTACCAGTTGCTAAACGACAGCCTTTAGCTAATAATAATAATGGAGTGATACATGAAGATCAAGAAGAAATAGAAATGAAAGAAATAGGAGGAGATGGTCACACTGAAGATGGTCATATTGAAGATAGTCTGATAATGAAGGAAAGAAGTCCTTTGTCAAGGAAAGAAAAAGCAAAAAATAAAATGATGTCTTTTAGAAAAGGTGTCACAATTGCCCTCAAGGACTTGAAAATGTTTATGAAGTAAGCTATTGTTGTTGTTTATTGTTGTTGTTTATTGTTGTTGTGAATAGGGATAGGAACACAAGACTAACTCTTCTTATATACTGTGCATTTTCATTTGTCATCATTGGATTTGATGAATTGTATTCACTGTGGTGCTCCACTTCAGTCTATTCAGGTCAGACATTAAAAAGATCATTTGCAATGAACTCACATGTATATATCTCATTTTGTAGGAGGAATAGGCTTCAATCTTCATGAGATTGGCATATCACTAAGTGTTGTGGGGGTAATCCTACTACCTTTCACATTCAGTTTCTTTCCATTGGTAAGTGCATGTTACTAGTACTAATAATTATGAATGTGTTCTGGTGTGTCATTATACATGTACATGTAGATGGAGAAGAAGCTAGGCTCTATTAGATCTTTCCAGATCATGGGTATAATGGAATTCTTTTTCATTGTCTTATTTCCTAGTCTACACTTCCTTGTACTGTTGAACAGGTAAATGATTGAAAGAGTTTTTTTACTGTTAAAAGCATCATTCAACCTACTATGTTTACATATTTGATTCTATTTATTTGTAAATTGTAACATCATCTTTATAATAATAACTGGTTTATTTCCTCTTTCTATAGTCGTGTGTATTTATGGCTAGTGATGGTTATTGTCCTCTTTATCATAAGGCTAGCCACTACAGCTGGTTTTGCCGCCACTTCTTTGTTTATTAATAATTCAGTGACTCCTGACAAGTTAGGAGCTATTAATGGACTAGCTGTATCATTAACATCATTGTTTAGGTATTGTAATGATTACTGATAATGTCTCTACCTCTCTCTTTCTCTCCAGGTGTATTTCTCCATTATTTGTTGGTACTATTTATTCAGCGTCTTTATCTAAAACTACCCAATCGATAGGCTTCCCAGTTGACTATCATCTGATATTTATAATTCTTGGTTTTATTTTACTCGTTGTTGTTCTTCTTACAACTTGTCTCCCTAGCTCTATTAACAGGATCAAGATTAGAGAAACAAGACTATGATTAAGAGGAATCTACTACTCTGGATAATAATTTTATTTATCATGTATTTATTCATTCATTATGATTCGTTATGATTACACTTAATACACTGTCCAGCTGCAGTTGGTGAATGTGTTAGGGTGTGGCTCGCTTTGCAATAGTTAATTTGTTTATAGTTCAACAGAGAGTGAGAGAACAGCAACAAACTTTGTAGCGGCACACTCAAACTGACCTTTTAGTCTGGCTATTGCGTCAGTTATGGCTCAAATGTGCAGAAAGTGGATAAAAAGAGAGAAGTTTGTTGGTTTCCCGAAAAGAGAGAACCTAGAGATTGTAGAAGAGAGTCTCCCTCCGCTGGAAGATGGTGGTAAGGAAGGAAAGGAGAAGAGAATGCCCTCGTAGAGTTGTGAGAAAGGCGGAAAAAGTGGATTTAAGCAGGGTTGTAGATAGTTTTAACTTTTTTTATTGAACAGAGATTCTCCTGGAAGCTGTTTACCTCTCAGTTGATCCATACATGAGATATGGTCGGGTTTACAACAGGAAAGATAAAGACAGAGATGACATAGGCCTTGAAATGCCTGGTACACAAATTGCAAGGCAAGTATTTAAGTGTTGCATGTTCACACTAACATTGTGCATGGTGTGTTACCCAACAGGGTAATTCAATCAAAGAATCCCAAGTATGACGTTAATGATCTTGTGCTAGCTTATTCTGGGTGGGTGACTCACAGCATATCAAATGGTGAAAAGGGTATTCATAAAGTACCAGTCAATGGCTCACTCCCTCCTTCAACTCGTCTTGGAATAATTGGAATGCCAGGGTAAGATACACAGTAGATTACTGGTACCTTCTTGGTTTAACTGCATTCACATACATTATGCAGTGCAACAGCTTATTTTGGTTTGCTTGATATATGCAAGCCCATCAAAGAAGGCGAGACATTACTAGTGAATGCTGCTGCTGGAGCTGTTGGATCTGCTGTTGGTCAAATTGGAAAGATCAAAGGAATGAGAGTTGTGGGTTTTGCCGGCTCTGATGAGAAAGTAACCTACCTCAAGAGCCTGGGGTTTGATGCAGCATACAATTACAAGACAGTACCCTCACTGGAGGCAGCCATTAAAGAATCCTGTCCTAATGGAGTTGATGTCTTCTTTGATAATGTAAGCCACCAATAACTAATGACTGTATATATGTGCCCTTGATATAGGTTGGTGGAGATTTCTTTGGTACTGTACTCCCACTAATGAATAAAAAGGGACGTGTAGCCATTTGTGGGGCCATTGCTGAATATAATAGAAAAGAGCCTTTGAGTCAAACTTGTAAGCAGATCATTATCATGGTACAATACTTACAAACAAAACTGTTCAGGTCCTATTAATCATCTCATCTTAAGAAAGCAATTGAATGTTAGAGGATTCATCATTCTTGATTGGGTGGATGATTGGGACAAGGCTTTCAGCAACATGATATTTTGGATACAAGATGTAAGTGTTATATTTTGGTGTACATGATGTGCTGCTTCTTTGTCATTTGCTCTTTTTTAGGGTGATCTTAAATATCGTGAAACTGTTTTTACAGGGTTTGATAAAATGTTTGATGCTTTTATGTCACTTTTTGAAGGAACAAACATTGGGAAAATCATTGTAAAAATCTAACCAACCACTTCAAAGCTGCTGTCATTTGGACTATAAAAATAATATATTCAATCACTAGAGAACAGATTTTATACAAGACTTTAATAGATTTTATGTATAATAAAAATAATAAATAATCAAGATGCAAAAAATTAGTGTGAAGGTGTGGCTATGGAAGTTTATTTGGGATCACGTTTTTGGTGTACATGCGGTTAATATACACGCAGCACATTTCATTTTTCTCTTCGGTGTCTTGTGGAAAGTTGGAAACTACAAAGCTAGCAACTGTCATGTCTGGAATCAAGGCTCGCAAATGGTTGAACAAGAAACCCTTTCAGGGTCTTCCTAAAAGGGATGATTTTGAAATCGTTGAAGAAGAGCTCCCTGCAATGAAAGATGGAGGTAGCTAAGACTTGCAGAATGTGCATTTTATAATAATTATCATTGCAGAATTTATTGCTGAAGCTCAATTCTTAACTGTTGATCCTTACTTAAGGTGCTATATCTAATTATGTTTGATTAATAATTTTATTTAATTATCAACTTTAATAGGATTACAGCACTTGGCATTGTTGTACCTGGAAAACTGATGCCTGGCAGTCAAGTGGCAAAGTGTGTATAGTACCTAGATTAATTATAGTATTTTTATTGTATTTTTCTGTTTTTAAAGAGTGATACAATCAAAGAGCAAGGACTATTCAGTTGGTGATGTTGTTCTTGGTGAATTTGGTTGGTCGTCTCACAGCATTTCGGACGGTTCAAAGGTTTTCAAGTTAGACTCAAGCAGCCCAATACCTCACTCAACTGCACTGGGAGTGCTGGGAATGCCAGGGTAAGGAGGAAAAATCTAAATATATTTAATGAATGTAATTACTTTAATATATACAGTGCAACTGCTTACTTTGGTTTACGTGATATATGCCAACCTACCAAAGAAGGACAGACATTCTTAGTCAATGCTGCTGCTGGAGCTGTAGGTTCCATCATTGGACAGTTAGCAAAGTTAAAAGGAATGAAAGTTATCGGTTTTGCCGGCTCTGACGAGAAGATAGAGTACCTCAAGAGCCTAGGGTTTGATGTGGCATACAATTACAAGACAATACCTTCACTGGAGGCAGCCATTAAAGAATCCTGTCCTAATGGAGTTGATGTCTTCTTTGATAATGTAAGCCATGATGATAATTAAGAAGAATGCAGTTTATTATTTGTTTTTATAAAGGTTGGTGGGAAATTCCTTGAGACTGTGATCCCACAGATGAGTCCTACAGGACGTGTAGCAATCTGTGGGTCTATTTCTCAATATAACAATGAATCTGAAACAAAGAGCGGTAATAATGATCATATAATAATATCTATTATTTTTATTATTATTCAGATTTTAATATTCTCGGATATATTCAGATGAAGCAATTGAAAGTCCAGGCTTTCCTTGGTTGGAATTTCATGGATGAATGGCCAGTAGCTTTTAAAGAAATGGGACAGATGATACAAGATGTATATTAAACCATATTATTATTATTTTCATCTTTATTTTCATTTTTAGGGTAAACTGAAATATCGCGAGACAGTTTTTGAAGGATTTGACAGCATGTGTGACGCCTTTGTGTCCCTTTTCAGCAGCAACAACATTGGAAAGGTTGTTGTGAAAGTTTAGCAAGAAACCCAATGATAACTTTATAAGCTATAGCAGTAGTATAGTACAACACACTTTTTAATTTAGTCATAGTAATTAGTATTTTGCTAATTGGCACTATTCATTGTACAATGCATGGTTCATTGCTGAGGTGTGGCTGGCTATGATAGTAGCTTCAAGATATCATTGGTGACCTTGACCTTTGCAGCAAAGAAATATGTCGGGCGTTAAGGCACGCAGTTGGATCAAAGTAAAGGAGTTTGTGGGTCTTCCTAAGAGAGATGACTTTGAAATAGTCGAGAAAGAGCTGCCTGCTTTGAAAGATGGAGGTAAGCTAATGAAGTGAAGCTGAAGGAAATAGCCCTAACAATCACTGTTTATGCAATATGTAGAGTTTCTTGTCGAGGCACTTTGGAACACTGTTGATCCATACATGAGGTAAAAGATAACTTTAGCAATCAACAGAGGTGTTAATGAGCTATAAAAGACATGCTACATTAATTTGTATTTAAATTCTAAATTTTAGGACTAATGAGCTCTCAAATAAGGTAGGGTCTCCAATGGTAGGAGGACAAGTAGCAAAGTATGAATCATTAGATCACTCCAATCACTTTTAGAACAATAATACTTTTAGAGTTACGCAATCAAAGAATAAAGATTTTGCAGTAGGTGATGTTGTTGTTGGTCAATTTGGATGGACCAGTCACAGCATTTCTGATGGAGCAGGATCAATAATGAGTGCTGTAAAACTAGACCCAACTATACCACTCCCTCAATCAACTGCACTAGGAATACTAGGAATGCCAGGGTAAGAGAAACATCATATTATTAGTAAATCAGTACATGTATGCATGTACAGTGCAACGTCTTATTTTGGTTTGCTTGATATATGCAAGCCCATCAAAGAAGGAGAGACATTACTAGTGAATGCTGCTGCTGGAGCTGTTGGATCTGCTGTTGGTCAAATTGGAAAGATAAAAGGAATGAGAGTTGTGGGTTTTGCCGGCTCTGATGAGAAAGTTGCTTACCTCAAGAGCCTGGGGTTTGATGCAGCATATAATTACAAGACAGTACCCTCACTGGAGGCAGCCATTAAAGAATCCTGTCCTAATGGAGTTGATGTCTTCTTTGATAATGTAAGCCACCAATAACTAATGACTGTATATAAGTGTCCTTGATATAGGTTGGTGGAGATTTCTTTGATACTGTACTTAGACAAATGAATACATTTGGACGAGTGTCAGTCTGTGGAGCTATTTCACAGTATAATGCTTTGGAGCCTAGAAAAGGTTGAAGCTATTATCAAATGAATAATTAACTTTATTATTTTATACTATTTTTAAAGGGATTGATGTGTC